TTGTTATAAGCCCTTCAATTGCTTTCAGTTTTTATTCTTATTCTCTAATTTTTCTTACAACTCTCAAATTTTCTATTAATCGACGTTTTTGGGATTTAAAGGTAAGTTCAATAAATCAATTGAAATTAGTTTTGATAGAATTTGATGCGTAAATTGCCTGTCAATGTGTTAAGAGAAAATAATTTGTCTAACGAAATCACTTAATGGAAAATTTGAGAGTGATGCCTTGAATGAAAGATTGGAGAACAAAAATAAGAACTGAAAGAGATTAAAGGATTCGTAACAGAAGCGACACTTTTCCATATTTACCCAAAATTATTTATGATAATTTTGACGTCCCATCTATTAATGGAAGATTTGTAGATGGTCCCTTATATACAAAATTTGAAGGCGATATCATAGATTGGAAGGATCACAACAAAAACGTCTGTTCTGATAATCGAGGTTCGATTGCATTTATATTTTTGAATTCGATGAATATACAGGACGTATCATTATTATCTTTGTATCGCAGAACGTTCACGACCAATAAAACCTGAAATTCATCTGAAGACCGGGAACTCCTTTTTTCAAAGTACTGAGCACACTGATAATTTTATTGATTTTCGTACTAAAGAGCCGCAATTAACGAGTGAATCGAACAAAATTGCCGAAGAAACGGAGAAAAAGCAAAAAAAATTAATGGAGAAAAAGGAAAAAAACAAGGAATTGGAAATGTTGGTCTCGAGGTTAGAAGACCTAAAGTGTCCACCGCTTGAAATTCCGGAATATAAAGACGCGTACAAGGTAAAGTATATCGTTACGTCCTGTTAATTAAGGGGCACACGCCACAATTAGGCTTTTACACAATTGGGCTTGGAGTAACTTTTTTTAATCCGATCATCATAAGGCCATCGACTATCTGCAGCAATAAACCGAGTAAGTAAGAATGCTCTCTTATTTTCCTGTACTGATACCGCCACTCAATTAAAGTTGTTCTCAGTCAAAACTGTTATCGGTCAAAGTTACTGTTGGTGAAGTTTCGTATCGGTGAAAACAGTGTCAGTAATTTTAATTGAATCTATTCATAAAGATACGAATTTGCTCGAACATCCACGATCTAGCAATTACTAACGAGTTTTGGCTTCGAAATTACTAACGATCTTATTCTAAATACACTGTTTTGATCCGAATAAATTTGTAATTCCAAAACCGAAAATTTTTCCTTTATATATCTAGGTATAAGTAAGCTATACATCTGAAAGAAGATTTATCTCTCTATAATCATTATAGACTATTACAAGTCATCTCTAACTTATATTTTAGCAATTTTGATTTTATGGCTCGTCATTGAATTCATAATTGAAATTGATTTCAAAAAATGGACGTAGGGACTTACATGAATGCGTATGACCCTAGCTGCGGTTAGATCAATTTGTGACCCTATTAAACGCCTTATTTCACTATATCACTTCTACCTATTATACATAATACAGTTCCACCTATTACATATACACACTAAAATACACGAGTTAATTGATACTACAAGAGACCAAAAATCGATACAGAATGTATTTGTACATCATTGTATTCATTATACTATCTACTTACTAATTAATTACGTTTAAGTATATTAAATTTCGTATCATTTGGTGCATACATGGCTACAAGAATTTGATACTATGAAAATGAAATATAATAAAACCTCATACAGAAACGTTCAATTAAAAAATTAGGATATGTATTTGTCGGAGATAAGAGGACACCGGTGCCTTCCCTCTGAAACCTTGGGAAAATCCATAAAAACATTGCAATTAAAACCTACAGTTGTAATTAAACGGTTTGCCGTCATTCTACCCAATTGTATTTGTTTAAGACTTGTGACAATGAGCTTGGGCTCAAGGCGACAATTAATCGCCGAACGTAGCCGCGGTCAACGGGACGAACTCTCCATCTAACAAAGGCATTGAGTAACCCTATAGCTCTCCTTAAAAGAAAGATTTGTAGCGGCACGTGGCAGTAAACATTCCAACGGTTTCTGTCCCGTAGCTCGCCACACGCAGATCCTATTCTCCGGGCAGGATGTTTACCAGATGTCGACGCGTCTCCGCAGTACGTGATCGGCTAGCCCAAGGACCGTTATAAACACTAATATCTAGTTACCTAAAATCCCTCAACAGATACACAGTCTTTGTCCCAGTTACAGGAAGACA